ACAAGGAGTTGAAAGATCTCCTCTGGTTTTGAGGTGTGAGAGTGAGTGGCTAAGTGGGGCGTGGGGAGGAAAAGAGAATGAGATGGGGACAGAGTTCTCCTGGGGGATAGGCAGAGTAACAGAGGTTGATGGGGGTAGGTTGAGTTTTCAAGTTCTAGGGTGTCATTTAGGGAGTCAACTGTTATTTCTCATCTGTGGCTTGTCTCATCTATTTTGAGCAACTCTGAGCCTTTCTAGATAAGGTGGGATGTAAATCTAAATAATCATAATGATGATGAGACTGAAACCTAGAGGACAGGTGATTAAAGAGAAAAACTGTGATTGGCAAACTGGTGAAGATAGAGAGGTGACTTGATCTTATATTTGGGAAAGTGATCTAATGGGGGTGGGGAGATGCTTTTCAATCTTGCTGACAGCATCCAAGGGCTGAAAATTGAAGTAAGACAAATTCATCCTGGAAATAAGATGCAGTTTCCTATCTCTGGAGGTAATTACATATTGAAAGAGTTTACATGGGGAGATGACGGAACTCATTATTGCTTAGAGTATTTAGAATGGGATTAGATACCTTTCTGAAATGCATACTTCCGAGAGAAATCCTACAGTCCTTGTGGATGTGGGGAGGGGTATTGAGCTGGGTTTCCATTCAGGTGTTGGACTCTCTGGATCCAAATGCCAATGCTCATAGAATCATAGAAAATGAGGGTTGGAAGGAACCTCAGAAGGTCATCTAGTCCAGCCCCCTGCTCAAAGCAGGACCATCCCCAACTAGATCAATCCAGCAAAAACTTTGTCTAGCCGGGTTTTGAAAAACTCCAAGGATGGAGCTTCCATCGCCTCTCTGGGCAACCTGTTTCAGTGTTTTACTACCCTCCTAGTGAGAAAATTCTTTCTAATATCTAACCTAAATTTCCCTTGCTGCAACTTGAGACCGTTGCTCCTTGTTCCATCATGTGCCACTGCTGAGACCAGTCTACCGCCATCCTCTTTGGAATGAGCCTTCAGGTAGTTGAAGGCTGCTATTAAATCCTCGCTCAGTCTTCTCTTCTCTTGACTAAATAAGCCCAGTTCCCTCAGTCTTTCCTCACAAGTCATGTGTACCAGCCCCCCTCAACGTTTTCATTGCCCTCTGCTGGACTCTCTCCAACTTGTCTACATCCTTTTTGTAGTGAGGGGGCCCAAAACTGGACACAGTACTCCAGATGTGACCTCACCAGTGCTGAAGAGGGGAAGAATCAATTCCCTCAATCTGCTGCAACACACCTACCTATGCAGCCCAGTATGCCGTTAGCCTCTTGGCAAACAAGGGCATACTGTTGGCGTATATTCAGCTTATTGTCCACTGTAACCACCAGGTCTTTTTCTGCAGAGCTGCTGCCCAACCAGTCAGCCCCCAGCCTGTCTTGATGCATGGGATTGTTCTGTCCTAAGTGCAGGACTTTGCACGTGCCCTTGTTGAACTTCATGAGATTTCTTTTAGCCCAATCCTCCAATTTGTCTAAGTCACTCTGAATCCTAGCCCTACCCTCCAGCATATCTGTACTCCCCCTCATCTCACTCCTTCATGGGCTCTGGGGAAAAGAGAAGTGCCAATTGTGTCCTCAGCCTGATCATAGCGCTTTCAGATGTGGACTGAGACGTTGATTGTAATAAGATCTCATGATTCAAGATTTCAGCCGATTGACTTCAGGAGGATGGAAGGAATATTTTTTCCTCATGCACAGCTGGCTTGAACGTAATTCTGTGGGTTATTTTTTTGTTCGCATGTTTGTTTATCCTGCCTATGAAGCTTTGCAGATTGGCCCTTTGACATTAGGGCTGGAAGGAACCTCATGAGATCATTGGGTCCAGTCCCCTGCCCAAGGGGCAGGAAATCAGCTGGGGTCAGATCACCCCTGTTCATAGGGCAGGGTAAAACAACCACTTTTACTGGTGAAGAGAATCTTTTTTCCTGAATTCTTGGCATGTGAATCTTGCTCAGCAACAAATTGATGGCCAGATTTGTGGTTTGAGAATTAATTTTAGCCTGGGACAAATTGGTAGAAATTTGGGGCAGGGGAGTTCATGTTCTTCTGCAGCACAGAGTGCACTTCATATGCTGGGAACATCTGGGAATATGTCACCTGAGCAGTTTCCTGTCATTGAAGAGGATTCAACTATTGCTGGCCTTTTGGTTTTTCCTGCTCGGCTGGAGCAAACAAAATGGTCCCCTGATCACTAAAGCCTTAAGTCAGTGGTTTTCAGCCTGTGGTCCACAGACTATGTCTAAGGGGTCCATGAGAGATGACTATGATCAATCAAAAGTATGTGAATACTCACACTCACAATTCAAAGGGGTCTGCACCTCCAATCACAATTTCCAAAGGGGTCCACACATCCATTTAGAATTTTTTTAGGGGTCTGCAAGTCATTGTTTTAGGGCTTAATCTAGGAATTCCTGGATGAAACTTGATGGATTGTGATAAAATGGCCTTGTCAGGCTAGGTGAAGGTTCCAGGTCAGCTGATGAACATCTTGGGTGCCTATATGATTCCATGTGATGTAAAAGCCCAGGAAATTACACCCAAAAGTACATTAAAATAGCATTCAGGTTGCAAAATCCATCACTGAAAAGTAGGAAAATGCCAGAATTGAAAGCAATATATAACTGTGTAACAGCTAGAGCAGAAGGGGATTTTCTGCTCCATTTAAAATTCTGAAGGGTTTGGAAATGTAATTTTGTTCCATACCATAGTGGAAAAAAAAGAAAAAATGTTGGATTTTTTTATGGAATGGCTGGCAGCTGGAGAACTGGTGCCTGTGTCCAGAAGGGCAGCCCAGGATGCCAGCCCTCTGGGCATCTGACAGCTTAGCCCCCCAGTTTCCATGCCTTGGGGCCCTGCTAGATTTTACCTCCAGGCCCTTACGGACTAAGAGGCTGCAAACCTAAGCACTCTGGTAGCTGCAGGTTTTAGGAGTTCCAGCTCTTCGAATGGGCTACTATCATCCAAGCAGATGAACTGACAGGAAATCTGTCACATGAGATTACCTGTCAGTCCATCAGAATTTTTTAAAATGTTGTTTGTGTAAAACATTCCAGTTTCCATAAATTGGCAGTTTCCAGCAGAAAATGCATGCTAATAGGAAGTTTCCAGCCATCTCTAATAAACATACAAGTTATACAATAGCACTGGGTACACACAGTTCCCTTGTTCTTGTTATGTCAGTTCATAGTAACCTTCCTAGTTGCAGGAAACCACATAGTTGGCCCAGAAACTTTTTCTGATGAAAATTGGTAGCTTTTAAAACATGTACACATTGAAAGGGCCATTAATGTAACCTAGTCCTGCTTTAAATAGCATCCATCCATCTCCAGAGATGGTCTTTCCTGAGATGGCCTGGGGTTTCAGGAGTACTCTGGACAGTGACTAAAATTAATTGGAAGATATTCAGGGCATTTGTCGAAGGTCCTTATGTAAAATATAGTCACACAAGCACAGTTTCCACCCTTCTCCCCCTCCCCCATGATAGTGCTATGGATTTTTTAAGCATCAATTGACTCCATTTAGTTGTGTCAGCCCATATCAGAAATCCACTGTCAATATTTAGTCAAGCCTTGAAGCCTCCCACATTTCCCAGCAGCTCTGAAAGTGGTCTGGACACTGCTTTGAAGCAGATACCTTGTTACCTGAGACTGCCAGTGACAGCATAAATATTGCTATTTTGTTTCAATTAATTAGCACACGAAGGACTGATTTTTCTAGGTGATGATCACCTGCAGCATCAGCTATAGTCAGAGAGTTATGAGTGTTAAGCAGCTGGTTAAATTAGACCTTTAATTTTTACTATGTATAATATATCAAGTTATTATACCATGCATAATATTATGCATGCAATATTATACATAGTATAATATAGCCCACAGGTAGCCAACGTGCAGCATGCATGCCACAAATGGCATGGGAAGCTCTCCGTATGACAGATCAGGGAAGGGACAGCCAGCACGGTGACATATAGGGCAGGAAGCAGGAAACAGAACAGTAGGTAGGGCATGGAGCAGAATGGGATCAAAGTGGCACTTGGAGAGGTTTCAGTATTTCTGGCAAAAAAGTTGGTCCCCACTGATACAACCATGTCTTCTTGCTGTTGGAGCAGTCGTTCATTACAGAAGCTTTTTTTTAATACAAAAGCTAATTAGAGCAACATCTTTCCAAAGCAAATCAAACTTTCTTAAGCTGATTACTACGAGAGCTATTTTTAGTACCCTGCCTTCATTTTCATGCTCTTTAGCAGTGTGTAGCACTTGACACCTTTATTCAGGAATATGGTTTAGTTTCTGAAATAATTGTATCTAGTGAGTCTATGTATAATTTATAGTTGGCTAAGACCAGAAGACCCAGCCCTTAAAAATGTCCCTGCATCCCAGAAATTCTGTGCATCAGAATAGTTCTTTGGTCATAGCTTTTTTTGTTTTGACAGTTCGTATCAGCAGTTTTCTTCGCTGATATATTGATTGTAGGGCTTGAGTCCTGCTGATCTAATAAAACATCACCATCACAGAACAAGGAAAAAAGAAATCTTTAGTCTTCTTGGCAACTGCCAGTGCTTTCCAGAATATTGCTTTGTGTAGAATGAAATGGCTTTGGGCCAGTGACTAATTATATTAAAGTGCTGTGCTTTTAAATTATTTATGCACTGTAATGTTTTACCCTAGTATTATTAAAACCTCTGTAACTAAGATTTTGGTTCAGACAGCTGTGACAGTTCTTCTATGGATGATATAGTACACCAGGGGTTTTTAACAAATAGTTTAACCCCACATTAACAAATGCCTTCATTGTGGAATACAGCTGTGGCAGGAAATGCAGATGGAAATAATTTACATCGACTTAGACAAAAGAGGCTAAGCAACAACAATAAATATAGAGGTATCTTGAAAAATGTTGTTTGCAGTGCTGCTTTATAATATTTAAAATTGATCAGCTTCAGACAATACTAATAAGAAACTTTTATTTATGCAGCAATTGCTGAGTATACAGGAAGAATTAAATAATAAGAAATCTGAACTGGAACAAGCGAAAGAAGAACAAACACATACACAAGCAGTGCTTAAAGTTCTTCAGGAACAGGTGAGTGTTTACATTAATAGAATAATCCTCTAGTAATACATTATAGTTCTTTTGCTCACTTTAAAATGAGTGGGAATTGGACTATTGGCTGAATTATAAGCAGGGTATAACAATATATATGACCTGTGTGTCTATTCTGTCTAGCATACGGAAATGCTAGTTGAAGGTAATATATACTATAGCTTATGAAAACACTGTCAAAATGAGATTGAAATCTGTCAGTTTTGCAGTAGGGAATATTGAATTTCACAACTTGTGTAACATTTTCTGTTATGTTCCTCTATACAGATACCAGTGATGTGTGAGTGTTTTCTATCTGAAGACAAATTAATTTTAGGATAGTTAAATATGCCAGAAAAGTAAACATATTTCAAAGAAAGCAGCCATTTCTTTTAAGACCAGAAGCAGGGAAAATGAGTTTAACATCTCCTGTGTTATTCATGCAGACACAAATATACAAAAGATTGAATAATGATGACACTAAAAAAAAATCCCAGTGCATCAGTGCGCTTATCTAGCACTTCTTCTTGTGGGAAGAAGAGAACCTTTTATATACTTTGCAAATCTGATCATTTCAGTTTAGCTTTCTTTGATACTAAGTGCTGTGTGGCATTGATAAGTGTATTTGAAAGTATTGTCTTACAAGCAAAGCAAGATGGATTGTTTCGCAGCAAAGAGAAATCTGAACCTATGCTGAGAGATGCAGTACCATACTGTGCACACATATAGAGTATGCAAATGTGGGCTGCGTGTGTAGGCTATGTAGTTGTGAAGACAGCAGTCACAACTCAATACTTGTACTACATAGTTACAACATCTCTTCTAAGACCTCTGTTTTAACATTTCCTAACATTTTAGTTAAGACAATGTGTTTTCTTATTATTTTAGGCATCCAGACTTTTTTTTCATAAACACTTTGTAGAAGTGAAGAATCTCAGTTGTTTACATAGCAAGGTTTCAAAAAGACTAAGATGGTTAGTTTAAAAAAGCACCTTTCACAAGTTTTCAGCCATTCTGCCTCAATACCAGGTGTTGATAAAGTATAAAAATTATTTATAGATGTATTAAAAATACTGATGTATTGAATTGTTGTATTTATTCCAAAATTTTGTTACCGTTTATTTTTAGAATTATGCCTTTGTTGCATATCTGCCATTTGTCATCAAGTGCATTTAGTGGCAAATGTATTTTACAGTCTGACAATTCAGATTTTTCAGAATAGTTTTCATGTTAAAAATATCTCTAGCATTTATGGTTACAGTTATCAGTGTGAATTGAAGTAACGTAGTTTTAGGCAGAAGGATATGAATAAGAATAGATTTTTTTACAGTATTTTTTAAACATACAATTTCAGATGATGGAATGAGTTAAAGGACATAGAGAATATAAAAGAAATAGAACAGGTAGGTCACATCTACATGTCGCGCCAGACAGTGATGTTGCTATGGCGCCGTACTTTCATTCTTCCTTTTGGAAGAACTAAAGCATGGTGCAGTAGGGGTGGTTACTGCACCATGCGGACAGCGCATGCTTAGATTTCCTCACTACGTTGTCAGGGAGCGCTGCTATACCTGGGGAGTGTGCCACTATGGCGATGTAGCTAGTGATCATATGTAGACCCACGTGATCGCTACACTGCCATAGTGCACCATATGTTGACATAGAACATTGCTACGTTGCTATAGGGCGATGTGTAGATGCGCCTGTATAGTATCATTCTATCATTCCCATTTGAAACTTTATTTCAACGTATTTTAATAGCATTAGAATATGTCATCATAAAATATTTCCTTAAGAATAGAAAAGTACATTTTTTAATGTACATTAGAATCATAGAAAAATAGGGCTGGAAGGGACCTCAGAAGGTCTTTTATTATTCCAACCTCCTGCTCCAGGCAGGAACATCCCTGTTTAACACATTCCTGTAAAGTATTTTTCTAGCCTGTCTTTAAAAACTTTCCTGGATGGGGATTCCACAGCCTCTCTAGGTAATCTGGTCCAGTGTTCAACCACCCTCATAGTTACAAAGTTCTTCCTAATTTCTATCTTAAATTTCCCTTATTGTAGTTTAACGCCATTATTTCTTCTTCTGTACCTGGCAGCCACTATCCTTATTACAATCACCCTTTAGGTGTTTGAAATCTGTTACCAAACTTTCCTCTTCTCTGCAAGTATCTCTTCTCCCAATTAAATAATTCCAGAATGTTTCCCTTTAAATCATGTCCATACATCAAACATTTATATTGCTCTCCACTGTACTCTTTCTAATTTGCCCACATTTTTCTTGAAGTGTGGTGCCTAAAACTAGACACAGTACTACAGCTCCATACTACAGGCCTCCCCCGTGCTGAATAGAGTGAAAGAAATACTTCCCTTGATTTGCAAGCATTGCTCCTTTTAGTACAGCCCAGTATGCTATTGGCTTCTATTGCAATAAGAATAGACTGTTGATTCATATTCATCTGGTTGTCCACTATAACCTCTAGGTCCTTTTGTGCAGTACTCTGGCCTAGACAGTCATTTACCAGTCTGTATTTGTGTATGTGATTATTGTTTCCTAAATGTAGGGCTTTACACCTAACCTTGTTTAATTTTGTTCAGTAAGTTTCAGACTTTTTCTGGTTTATCAAAGTCATACTGAATCCTAACCCTATCCTCCAAAGTGTCTACAACATCATATGGTGTGCCATCACCAGCAAATTTGGTAACTGTAGACTCAGTCCCATGCTCCATATTAGGGCTGGCCAACTTCTGGGTGGTTGGAGGTCACAGACATCCCAGACACATGCCATGTACTCTGTGATGGGCAGCACCCTGTACCTGTGTGACCCCCCGAACACTGTCCCACCACCCTGCCCACCACGCCACATCCTCTCTGTCTCCCATCATACTGTGCTGCTGCCCATGGGTCACCCTGACCTGTCTGGCTACATTCTTCCATAGGCCATGCTGCCCTGACACACTTCAAGATTATCTCTGATATACTCCAAAATCTTGCTGGACTGCCAAGGCAGGGCCGAGTTACCCTCCCAACAGATGATAGAATCAAAGAAAATTAGGGTTGGAACGGATCTCATGAGGGCATCTAGTTCAACCCCTTGTTCAAAGCAGGACCGTTCCTAGTTATATCATCCTACCCATGGCTTTGTCTAGCCATGTCTTATAAGCCTCCCAGGATGGAGATTCCACCAGTACCTTGGGTAACCTATTCCAGTGCTTTCCTAGTGATAAAGTTCTTTCTGATATCTAAGCTAAACTTCCCTTGGTGCAACTTAAGACCATCGGTCCTTGTTCTGTCATCTGCCACCAATAAAAATAGTCTAGCTCTTTGGAACCATCCTTCAGGTAGTTGAAGGCTGCTATTAAATCCCCCTCCTCAGTGTTCTCTTCTCCAGACTAAAAAAGCCCAGTTCCCTCAGCCTCTTCTCATAGGTCACGTGCCCCAGGCCCTTAAGTATTTCCATTGCCCTCCACTGGACTCTCTCCAATTTGTTTACATCCTTTTTGTAGTGGAGGGCCCAAAACTATACTCTAGATGTAGCCTCACTAGTGCTGAATAGAGGGGAAGAATCACTTCCCTTGATCTGGTGGCAACGCTCCTACTAATGTAGCCCAGTATGCTGTTAGCTGCCTTCGCAGCACGGACACACTGTTGGTTCATGGTTAGCTTATTATCAGAAAATACATGGTAAAGTCCCATCACAGCATGAGGCCCTGTGAATTAGATTCTTCAGTTAGTTGTTTGAAAAAAGACTTGTCCACCCTTTCTCAAGGTTTGATGGCCTATCGCAACATCCATTATGACATCTCCCTTTCTATTCTTCCTGTTTACCTTGACCCAGAGATTTTCAACAGCTCTCCTGCCCATCTTGTAGTGACTTCAGAACAAATGTATATCTCCTTTTTATATAAAGAAATACCGCTTTTAATATTCCAGTCGTGCAAACTATCCCACGAAGTCTCAGTTACCCCAGTTGGATCATGCTGCTTTTACTGTATTAGGACTTCCAATTCTTTATGCTTATTACCATTACTATTTCTCTTTCTCTGTCTCTTTCTCTGGTCTCACAAGCCTTGTGGGCCTATAACTGTCTACCATCTCCTATCTTATGCAATTTCTTTCTACTTTGCTATATCTTCAGCTATCCCTTCCAAATCAGAGTACCATTAGGATAGTCATCATAATCCATTGCTATTGTAAAAGCATATAGAAAGATCCAATCTCAAACCTGAAATAAGATCTACTAACATAGACCTTTGCATCTTAGCAGGACCACTAATTGTAAATTGGTGCCATACTGTCTTCTCAAGTCTTCAGACAACATAAGGATAAATAAAACAGGTGGGATGTATCCCTATTCATCTCAAGAATTATCTTTGAAATGTGCCCCTAAATGATAGTTTAGGTAGCCATAATCTTTCAGTAGAAAAAAAACATGTTGTTTCCCTCCAACAATTTCTACAGTGTACAGACATGTTTATACATTCTTCTGTATTGCCTGTGCACTGGATTTTGAAAATCACGGTTAGAGTCATATGAAAGCAGACATTTAATATAGAACTAAATAGCACTGAAGCTACTGCATTGATTGCATTATTTATTTCTGTATTAAAATCAACATACCTACATTTTTTTTGTTTTTACTTAAAGCTGCCACAAAATTTTCAGCCTGCCATAGAAAGCCTGCAGAAGTATATGTTGCAAACTGCTAAATTTAGGGCAAAGAGGTCCTTGATTGTACATGTAAATCCCATATATTTTACACGTGCAGTTCCTGTCCCTTGTAACTGTCCCTAAGGAACAAGCACCTCAGATAAACATGGGTATTTTGGCAAAGTCCTGAAATCCTAACCCTTCTCCTTTCCTTTCAGGTCCATGAAGGGTAGGCCCTGGGTGATTGCTGGCTCTAGTTCAGTGTGATGCCTCACCATGCTCTCTGCTGGTAACATCACACTCGCCATTGAACTGCGATGGAGCCTGCCTTTGGGGTAAGGCAACTCCTATTTTTTCCAATATTGTATGTTTTCCGAGGCTTTTATTCTTTTTTTCATACCATTTAGGATATAAGAGATGATCATTTTAATTTAAACCAAAAACCACAATATTGGAAAAAAGGGACTTTGCCCCTAGTCTTTGTGTCTAGAATTAGACATATTTTTCCTTACATTTTTCTACCATTGTTGCTACTGATGAATCTCCACCATTGGCTGGAGTGGTGGGAGATAAGGCCTTGTTGGCTACCAGCATAGCACCCTCTGGCCACATCCAGACGAGCATGGCCATGTGGTATGTAGTGCCACAGAACCGTCTGCAGTGCCACATACCACACATTCAGCTGTTCTCTGTACTGCAAGGGGGCAGCGCAGGGGTGTTTTTTGATCCCTGGATATCCAGAGGTTAAAAAACCCGTGGAAAAAATAAACCAGGCAACGTGCACCGCTCAAAACCAGAGCCTGGCTGACAGGAGCCACACTCCAGCTGCCGGCCAGGCTCCGAGCGGCAGAATCGCTGCTGCTGCAGCCCCAGGAGGCCCCCAGGATCCCAGGTAAGGCTGCTGGGGCCAACCCAGTACACGCAACCCCTGCTTAGCACTCTTAATTGGTTCCTGAAAATGAAGCATTAAGCGAAACCAAAAGTATTTGATGACCCAAGATGGTGACCACAAGTGTTTTTAATGACCCAAGATGGCGACTGTGAGCACTATAGCAAAACTTTCTGAGCACTAAGTGAAACCAGGTATCGATTTAAAATGAGCGTTATAGCAAAATAACGCTAAGCAAAACAGCATTAAGTGGGGGTTTCCTGTACTGGCCCTGCCCTCCCCCTCTCCTTCCCAGCGTAACCTGCCATGCGCCAGAGGGCATGTGTCACAGGCCTTCCCTGGGAACAACTAGCAGCAACACAAGATGTCCCACTGCTAGTTGTCCCTGGGGAACCAAACGTTTGCCCTCATGTGTAGCGGTCTCTATGTATTTAATCTTGCTTAGAGCAGGTCTAGAGGACACACTGTTCATGTATATGACTGTCTACTCTAGTTATCTTCATAGGAACATATGAAATGCTATTCTGGGTCATACCAATGAATGGTATATCTAGCCCAGTATCCTTGCTCCACCAGTGCTTTCGAGAGAGAGCGCACTGAACTGGGTATATCTATAGAGATCTGTCCCCTGTTCATTACCCTCCCTGGCATCCATTATCACTCCTGGTATCACTGACATAGAACCAGTTCTAATGATGGCAGAAAAGTGTAAGGGGAAGTGTCTAGGATAGATGTGTGCCTAGAAATAGATTCCAGCCTTTAACAGAATGAGAATGTGATTCAGTGGTGAGTGTGGAGTCACTGGCAAGACACATGTACATGGAGCACCTTCCAGGGAGCAGTTAGTGGCCATAGGGTAATTGTACTTTATGAACCTAGAAAAGGCTGGGTGGGGAAAGGTAAGTGATGATTTGAACTGCACTGGCCTGTCTATTGCCTTATTCAGTATCCTAGTTATGTAAGGATGACTTGTGGAATTAAGATTTTGCGCACACAGGATAAAAATTCATTTTGAAATATGCTAGTTATTTAAGTTACCATGAAATACAATTTAAAACAGAAATTCATAACTTAGTGTTGCTCTGTTGAAATTACATTCTTGGTCTCCATGAAGGAAAAACAATTTGCACCATTCTTGAGTACCTCCTACTGCTCATTTGTGCTTTATTGTGCTTTCACTGACAAAGTTGCTTATCGTTGCATTGAAAAGTTACAGCATTCATATAAAAAAACTTTGGACTGCTTTCACTGTGAATATCAAATGTTTTGAATCAAACAGAGCAGATTCTGTTTCATCAGACTTTTAGAATTGCCCTTACATAATTAAGTATATATATGATGCATAAAAGGTGATGCCTATAGAAAATTCTTATTCCTTAGCAAAAACAGGTGGAAACAAAGGCATCCAGCAAAAAACTCTCTTTACTATCATTATCATCATCACTCTCAAATATCCCCTTTAAATTAGGTAAGAAAAAAGGTCCAACTTCTCAAAGATATGTACATGGGCAAATCTAGTGTTTTGAGAAGCAGCATTCAGAGTGTGGTGCATTATCACATATAACACAACAAACATTTTTTCTGCAGTTAAAAAGAAATTAGAAACTTTAGGAGCCTATGGCTGTATTACTCAGTTTAAGATCCAAGGAAAAAAAAAATATAACTTTATTGGAACATGCATTCATTTGCTATATCATATATTATGTAAAAAAACACAATAAACGGGGCAAAAATAATCAAAAGACATTTCATTAGTCCTGTAGTCATTAGAATTGAATATACATCTCTTTCAGATTTATAAAACAAAATCTAGCCTCCTTAAGCATCCTGACAATCCACCCAGTGAATCACTGAAGTTATTTCCACATGTGAGTTAATGTTTCTGTGTAGAGTTAAAAGTAATTGGTGGGACTGTGAAAATAGGAAATACATCATCCAGATTAGGTAACAGACAGAAGAATTACAGAACAAAGGATAGTTTGATTAGTGAAACCATTAAAGACATTAAAAGGGAGAGGAGGTCATTAATGCCTGCAGAATGGAGAATTTAGAAAGAATCAAGTATATTATAATGAGCCATGGAGTCAGTTGATTCCTTCACTGCTGCCTGAATAGAAATGCTGCTGCCACTGGCAGGAAATTGATTTTAAACTTTGGGTGAACCAAGAATCAAAGTGGGCAGGTGCAGCTGTCTCTGGATGTACTAAAGCATGAGTGCAATTTTCTGCATGTAAAATCTGATTCAGGCACATGAACATTGTGGCATATACCTTTTTGTATGCTTGTTCAGCCATAAGTGGTGTGTGCACAAATCTTAGAAAATTTGGCCCCAGATGTCAGATAGGTAATGTCTTTAATTCTTTTGATTATGGGTATTTGAGAGCCTTCCCTGAAGTAATCCTGAGTTGCGATTAAAAAGCTCATTGAAAAAAAATTGCTTTAGCACCTCCATATGAGACAATGTCTTCTCAGTTCTTCCTCCCACTAGCTAAATAAATGAGCTGCTCATCCCTCCTCCTTCTCCTCCTCCATCATACCCAGGAGCCACGTCAGTTATCTGGATACATCCCCACAAAGGAAACCTACAGTAATACTTCAGCATTTTAAGCAGCTCAAAATATATCATTCAGAAGTAAGCATTAGCAAAACACTGTTTAGCTACTGGCAACTTGCAAACACTGCAAAGTTTAAATTAATAGAAACAAGAATGGGAAATGAAATCATTTATTATTCTTGAGAGCCAATTTTGTATACTTTTTATGTCTTGAAACTACTTTCTAATCTTATTATTTTTTAAAAAAATGACCCAGCCTTACTATTTTCCTTTCTTTTTTTTTTTGCCACCTTTCAAGCATTAAACATGTTGGTTTCAAAATGGTTTGAGCAAAAACTCATTAGAATTATATGCTCCATCTGTTTTTCTCATTGGAGGCTTTATAAAATGCTACTTCAAATAAATCAAAGATAACTGTGAAATACTCAAGTAATGTGCTTGTTTTTGTTTTGTTTTGTTTTGTTTTTGTTTAATCTTTGCAGTTAAAAAGTGCCAAGGAGTTAGCAGAAATCAATGGCCATGACGAATCTCAGGCAAATGTAGGTATAGCTGTATTTGCATGTTTATGTTCCCAAGCTTGCTTTTTGCATTTGAAAGTTGATAGAATGACTAAATGGTCTAAAAATCAGGTTTGGAGCATCTATTCTTCCTAGAGGTGCAGGTTCAAATCCCTGCCAAGTTCATTTTGAGATAGATGAACTGAGTTCCATTCAGTTTCCTTTCTGGGATTATTTGGATGAGACCTTAACAACCAAAGTCCTGCTTGCTCTGTATGGATATTAAAGATGCCACAGGAATGTTTGTAAGAAAACTGCTTTATATTAGTAGCCAAGATTGCCCATCCTACCATACTACACTGTCATCACAACTGCTACCTTCCACCACAGATGTGACTGCATTTTGGTTTTATAGGCACATTCGGAGTCACTTTACCTTCCAGTAATAAGTTTCTTAAAGGGACTGTGTCTGGTCATAATTTATAAAAAATTAAGACCAATAGAAATAGTCCTATTGTCTCTTTGCTATTCATTGTAAAGAGAATGAGTAGGTACATTTTCCTGCTATTTTTGTAATCCAAACTTTGCAATACAGTGGTTCTTTGTAAGCATCTGAACATGAAAATGGCTTGAAACAAATGGCTGGCCTAATATCTTTGTCTTGGCAGAGAGAAACAGTAACAGCATGATTTTTTTTAATTATTGCTGTTTTAATGATCTAAAATAGTATCAGTTAGACAGGTAAGGACTCATTTTAACTTTTAAATGCGTCTTTAAAGCTCTGTGGGAATCTTTAACTTAGTTTGACTAAAGAAGGGGTTTTCTTCCTTGTTCTAATGTTCTTTGAATCTTATTCATTATGGTCTGATTCATCAGTGAAGTCAATTGGACCGCTGAGCCTTCAGCCCCTTGCAGGAGGAATTAATTATTCTTTAAAAGCTCCATAAAAGCAAAAATTGCTATCTGTAGGTAGCACTCGGGCAGCCTAGAAACATTGTGTTTTTACAATAGAATGGGGAAGAGATAAGTTGATGAACCTGAATTTGTCACATCTGGTGCCTGAAAACCGTCACCTTCCCACTACAGTAGGTCAAAAAATGACGACAAAATATTTAAACTTTATCGAAACAAAATTTCACTCAGAAATATCAAAGACAGAATAGTTCAGTAGTTTTGTTTTGAAGTACATTTTCCAAAAATAACATTTTATTCTAATTCAAGATGAGATTTGAGAATGTCTGAACTCTTCCTAAAGAATGGAAATTCAGTTTTCTTTTTCACATGCTCAATGTGGTGCCTTGAGCACTTTACAGTAAAGGAAATTGAATATTATGGCTAGTTGTGTGTGATTGTAGGATTGAATTCAAAAGGAACAGCATCAGCACCATTCCTAAAATACTGATAGAAAAGGAAACTAGACCACTGCGATGAACCAGTGAGTTTAAAAATCACTCCATGGTAAAATCAGGAAGAGATATAAAAGCACTAACACAAATGGTAGCACAAAAATGTGTTACAAGACTGAATAGTGAAAGGAAGTGTGATTTTCTTTGTGGAAACAGTGAACATTGGAAAGGAAGTTGAAAATATCAGTGCAATTTTACTTCATATTGAATATTTAATACCCAAGTGCTGCTCTTTGAAAATTTCATCCAGACCTTCATTACCAGTGGAGTCTATGGTTTTTGCCCTTGGCCAGTGTCTAAATCTGAGCTGATCAAAGAGGAAAAGATTTGGTGGTTCCTACTTGGTTATTAGTGGACTGTGGTGCATAAAATAGGATTAGTACATATTTGATACAGTTGACAGATTGAATTTAGCAAATGAAATACCTTCACATTGAAGGTATGATTGGAAGTTGTTGGCAAGGAACTATGACAATATCCGAACAGAATATGACCTATCTGTCTACAGCTCAGCTTGAGCCACTTATATCTTTTGCTAGGGAAAACCAGCATCTTAAAAAGGGCTGTAGAAGCCTGTATTAAGGTCTCTGCATATTTACTGGAGTCTTATACTTCAAAAAGACTTGTCCATATTGCAATCCCCACAAAAATAATTCTCCTAAGTCATGAAGCCCTGTCTCTAATTTAGATGTATTTTATGTAATAATATTGTTGTTTGTTAAAACAAAAGATTGAAACATCTTTCCTCAGGGAAGAAAACAGATAAAAATATTATACATCTTATATGGCCATAGGCAGGGATGGGACATACAATTTCTCATGGCCAGAACATACTACAAGTAATGCAGGAAATTGAGACATCTCTAGAAATGAATACTCACCACTAATGAAAGGGTCCTAACCACTAACACAGACATACTGAGCCAATATTGGATTTTCTCCTCCTTTTGCCCAGAGCATTTCCCATAATCATATCAAAGGCCTGACAAAAGTAATGCTGTACTCACTGGGTGTATCTACATGTTATATTAATGTGACACAGTAAACTCTGGTGCCATTCACACCGGAGTTTATTGGTCACAGATACAGCATTTACACGCACACCCGGGACTGCAGCATGTTGAGCTGGGGCAATGCAGCCCAGCTGACAAAGGGTGGTCAGCCTGCCAGCCCAGAGCTGCTCCTCCATGGCTCAACATGCTGGAGAAGGGCTGGCTTGTGCACAAGGGTGCTATAATGCAGAGCTAGCTGACTGGCAGCCTCTATTCCATAGCACCCTTGAACCCCAGCCAGCCCCGTCACCATCTACACATGTTTCACTGCATGGTACTACTCTGCTGTAGGATAGGACTTGTGTCCCAGTAAGCTAATATTAATTAGTTTATTAAATAATAAACGTATTAAATATAAATTATATTGTTATAAATTTAAATAATTTGATATAATTTGTTTATATTTTATATGATTTATTTATATAATATGTAATCTATATAATTTATATAATTTTATATAATTATTAACTATAAATATAAATAAATACACTTATATATAAAATATAAATTAGTTTACTAATTCATTTACTGTGGCCTGATAGCACTGCACATGTAGACGATGGTGCTTTACTGCGGAGCTAATTAGTCAGCAAATCAGCTACAATCTTCCTTGTAACATGTTCTGGGCCCTGCAGACAGCTAGGGGAGCATGTCATAAATGATTTGCTAGTTGCATGTAGTAGTAATTGTTACTGTTGATGACTGAAGTGTCTTTTAATACATTGTGAGTTCCATTTTCCCTGCGGTACACTATGTAGAAGAAAAGCACCAGCATAATGTGTATACTATCCCCAGCAAAAATCCTGTCCCTGTGGGAAATCTGAATTATCAGTGACTTCAACAGTCCCATAACCAAGGCTGACAGAAGAGCTGTTGTGCAATGTGCATTTTCAGGGGCCCAGTAGCTAGGAAAAGGTGTTCATTGTCTTTAATCCTGACCAATTTATACAAAATCTTATTATTTCCCCTTCATTGCTGGTCACAGCGATATTTAATTCATATCACTTTCTTAACTAAAGAGAAATATATTGGCCAACGTGCAGTTTTATGTTCAGATTTTATCCTTTTATCTTTTCCTGGTCTCTTGTTGACTTTAATGTCCCAACATGTGAAAAAGCACTTCTTTTACTGAGAAAAGGTGAAGGGGCAGGGAATATTTTATTAAATTAAAATATTTTATGAAATGAAAACAAAAAAAAATAGATTATGTGGTTCACCATGACATCATCCTGTTGCCCACTACAAAACTTAATTAACTTTGGCTGCTGGACGTAAATGTTTTGACGCAGCTTCCTGGAAGTTGGAGCATCAATCTTCCCATTTCAGACAACATCCATGAGACCAATGATTGTTGTAGAAGAATTTCTCAGTAGCTACAATAGATTTCAGGGTTGAAATCCTGGCCTCTGAAGTCAGTAGCAAAACTCCCATTGACCTTAATGGGACTGGGATTTCACTAATGGACTTTAAGGATTATGGCTTTTTCAGCCCAGTTCAACATATTAATCATCCACATCTCAGCAGGTTTGAGCAACTGGAGATAAGACTTTCTATTACCTTGTTGTATTTTAGTTTCATTGTCTGAACAAGTAGTAAAGCTTGCCATATTCTGTGTTCTTGGCATTTTTGGTTAGCATCTCCTGCCACTTGGATACAGTATGTTGTATTTTTTTCCTTCAGATATAAATTCAACAGTGATAAGTTAGAGTACATTTTTTCCTATGGATACCTAAATATTGTTGGGGCATGTCTCATGTTCAACCAGGTATCCAACATTTATGCTGATACTTTTATTCTACCCCTGTCCTCCAGCCCCCTTTATTACATTTGGGACTCGGAGCTGGGGGGCAGCAAAGGCACCAGTCACAGGGCCCAAGTGCCTATATACTAATGCTAGGAGCATGGGGAACAAGCAGGATGAACTAGCGCTCCTGCTTGCAGAAAACACCTATGACTTGGTAGGGCTAACAGAAACCTGGTGGAATTCGTCCCACGACTGGGCGGTACATATTGAGGGGTATAGGCTGTACAGAAAGGACAGGGTGGGGAAGAAAGGGGGAGGGGTTGCGCTCTATGTCAATGAGCAATATACATCGACCCTCATCAAGAAGGAATCAAAGGACGAGGAAGTAGAAGGATTGTGGGTAAGGCTACATGGGGGGCAAGGAGAAAGGGATTTGGTGGTAGGGGTCTGCTACAGACCCCCACACCAAGGGGAAGAACTAGATTCGGGGCTCCTGAGGCAGCTCTCAGAGACCATAAAAGCTAAGGAGGCGGTAGTCATGGGGGACCTAAACTACCCAGACATCTGCTGGGAGACGCAGATGG